TTTTTAGAGTTGGCTCCATAAAGCATCAGATGTTATAATAGAGAAAAGCATTTCAAAATGAAAAGGATATTTAAACAGAAGTTTCCATGTGCCCTGGGAAGAATTTAAAGTCAAGCATCCCACCCCCTTTTAATTTGGTAATTAACTGGATTTGTCCTATAGTTTGGGAAACAGTAATAGTTTACACCTGTTTCAACTTCTGCTGTTTTTATTGGCGGTGGCTTTTGCCATCCCATATTTCTTGTGAAGCAAAAATATGAAATAAAATATGGCAAAGCATTGGAGAAATTATAATAAACATAAAACATGAATTGTTCAGCTTAAAATATGAAATGCCTTACCTGCATATTTAGCCAGCCACGTTTTGGTGGTATTGAAGTAATTTATTCCTGGAGTTTGTTCTGTATCATGAAAATAAGGACAATTGCTTTCATTGGCAGGAATAATCCAGGGTTTTTACATTCAAGTGCATAAACTTTGGAACATCAGGCAGAAGTCATATTGTAAAGGCAGTTTAAAAAAAACCTGCTAAATCTTTATGTGTGCGTTCATGTTACGGTGGAATAAAACAGAAGAGGGAGTAAGATTGTGAATATTCAATAGAACTGTTTTATCATAGTGTAGAATCAGACTTCAAAGGTCAAGGAGTACCATGACATAAAGTATGGCTGGCTCCTTGCACAGGCACTAGTTCCCCCTCCAAATATAATGAAAAGGAAATGATTTGAGTCAAGATATTATCATACCTCATTTTTTTTTTTTTTTTTGCAGTCCAACTCTCAAATGGTCTCCCTAGAGGTGCCCTTTATTTTTCAGGTCTAACAGTAGCTGTCCAGCTCTGGTGTTGGGTTAGGAGTAAAATGACTAGCTTTTTAGTGCATTGTCCAGAATGAGAATAGCTAAATTAAATTTATAATAAGTTTAATTTGGACAGAGTTGTGACTGCGAAAAGCTCTCTGGGAAAGTTCTCAGGAAAACTGAATTTTCATTTCGGCTCATCTGACTAGTAGGTTGGTTTTGAGTGTTATACAGGCCAGGGCTGTGAGTTGAATGAGGGTAGAGCTTTGCCTGTTTCGATTCACTGGCATGGGACCTGAATATTTGTGGGATGAAAGAGTGAACTTCTTCTCTGGATCCGTAAAATATAAACATTTAAATGCTTAAGTTTATGTTGAGAAAGAAGTGTTCTTCAGTGACCCCTCTCCTCCATCTTTCACTTTTTGGGAGTTTATATTTTGATGCTGAGGAATTTAGAGTAAGGTTGAGAATTAGACTCTCAAATTTGGGTTCAGAAGGATCCCTGTTTGGGGGAAGACAAGACTTTTGGTAAAATGTCACTCTCTCTTGATTGGCTTCTATAGCCTTGATAGGTTTGCATGCTTGGGGTCAGTAAAAGTCCTTCAGGTGACCCAGCAACCTGGAAATGAAATGAAGATGCTCCCTAGGAAGTGTTGATGACTAGGATTAACCATAGTCTGAACCTGAGACCATGATCCAAACAAGAACTCAACCGGGGTCTTTTACCAGGGCACTTCTGGGCTTGGGAAATGGATGCATCAGAGTTGAGCAAAAACCAGGCTCAGATTTAGAGTTTCTTCTACACAAATACTTGGAATACAAATTCTGGTGCCCTGCCTGCTCTTTTCCCTCAAATTACAAGCTTGCTAAAGGTGCAGGTTTCCGGTTAAATTTTATTATTCTTTTTTTCCTGAAAATAGTTACTTTATAGCTTGGGTCTAACTAAGGAAACATTCCCCTTTTTATTCATCCAGAGATTGAAGGGCCATTCTGTGAAGTCTGTTTAGTGTTTGGATGGACTTGGAATGAAGTGGCATTACCAAATGTGACATAATGAGTTTGTCATGAGCAAAACAAGTCTCCTCAAGGAAGTTTCTGTAATCAATGTAATCGTATAATGGAATTTTAACAGATAAAATTCTAAGTTGTGAAGGAGTTTCCTGTGATGAAAGGGGTGATTATCTGTACTTTGCTTGATAGACCTTTGAAATGTCTTTGATTTTAAAAATTTCAACGAAGAATTTTCTCAATGTCCCTCGGATTTTATTCAAATCTCCATGCCCTTGCTGCTACTTTGTTTGCCAAGTGACTGTAGGTATCATCGAGTATGGCCCCTTTTAACTATTTTTAGCCTCAGACAAAGATAGCCCAAGAGCTGGTTAAGTGTCCCAAGACACTTCTCATTAGGTTGGGCACTGCCCTTTTGTCTTGCCTGGGTGGCCCCTTTGGCTAGGACCAATCACACTTGTCAGTTTGCTTAGAAATTTCTTCAACTTGACTTTTTTTTTTTTTTTTAGCTTTAATATTGATATATTTCCAAGTTGGACAGTAAAAATGATAGTTTGTAAACTAAAAGAATCTATTTGTGGAAATACGTGATTCAAGTATAAATGTTGGTGCTCAGTTCATGCTACTGGTGGTATGGAATTTGTGCAAAAAGTAAAGTTAAAAAGATACTGGCATTAGGGATTAGTTTCCTTTTGCTGCTGTGACAAATTGCCACAGTGCAGTGTGTTAAAACACCATAAATTTATTACCTTACAACTCTGGAGGTTTAACATTTGAAGTGGATTTTACTGGGCTGGAATAAAGCTGTGAGCAGGGCTGTCCTCACTGTAGAGGCTGTCAAGAAAACTCCATTTATTTGACTTTTCCAGCTTCTAGAGGCCATCTACATTCCTTGGCTTATCATAGGCCATCTTCCACCTTCAAATCTTTCTAATCTCTGCTTTTGGTGTCATGTGCCTCCTCCCTCTCCTTCCATTGTCACATCACCTTGTACTCTGACCCTCCCGCTTCCTCCTTATAAGGACTTAATTAATTGGGCCCATGTGGATTATTCAGGATAATCTTCCCATCCCAAGATCCTTAACTTAATCACATCTGTGAAATCCCTTTTGCCATGTAAAGTAGTAACATATTCACAGGTTATAGGGATTAGGACATGAACATCTTTGGGGGGCATTATACAGCCCTGTTATACATTGAATACAATTTTTTATTCTTAACCCCTGTTTTTATATATTTTCTCAGACTGTCCTTGGAAATTCCAGAAAAATGTTCTCTGTGCTCTATTCTGATAAAAATGTGTAGATAAAAAATACACATTTTTACAAAAGTGGAGAGGGTGTCTTATATTTAACTGTAAAATTTAAGTTGGTAAAAAAAGTTTAAATTTTAATATTTGTTATTTCTTTGAGTTTCGAATCCTTCACCTAACAGAATGTCAAAATTGTCGTAACAGGTGCTTGTCAAAACTTGCTAAGTGACAAATGTGATTCTTAAGTGATTCATCTGCCACACTTCTTGGGTCTTTAGTCATTTTAACAAGTGTTCTGGACACATACGCACATATACAACAAAAACTGCCCTGCCGTGGTCCTGCACAGCAGGCATGTGGTTTACCATGGTCTTCCAGACCAGCTTCCGGGAGTTCTTGCGTTAGCTCCTTTCTTTGTCCTGGCCAGTGGTTGGCTTCTCCAGCTAAGCATTGTTCCACCCTACGCCAGAATCAGAGTCTTGTTTGGTGTTTGCCCTCTGAAAGATGCAATATGAGGCTGTTGCAAGCAAGATGCTATTTTTTCTCATTCCTCCTTTTGGTCAAATTTCCCATTGCTCACCACAAATAGAGTCATAGACTTATGAACATTGTCAGAGAACTGGGTTTGTCCTGTATTTATAGGATATCGTTGAGATATAAAATCATGTTCAGGGCCGGGCGCGGTGGCTCATGCCTGTAATCTTAGCACTCTGGGAGGCTGAGGTGGGCGGATCGTTTGAGCCCAGGAGTTTGAGACCAGCCTGAGCAAGAGCGAGACCCCATCTCTACTAAAAATAGAAAGAAAATAGCTGGACAACTAAAAATATATAGAGAAAATTAGCCAGGCATCGTGGTGCATGTCTGTAGTCCCAGCTACTCAGGAGGCTGAGGCAGGAGGATTGCTTGAGCCCAGGAGTTTGAGGTTGCTGTGAGCTAGGCTGACGCCATGGCACTCTAGCCCAGGCAACAGAGTGAGACTCTGTCTCAAAAAAAAAAAAAAAATGATGTTCAGATACAATGACCTTTTAATTAATCTCAAAGGAAATTTTTTTTTTTTTTTTTTTTTTTTGAGACAAAATCTCAAGCTGTTGCCCTGGGTAGAGTGCGGGGGCGTCCTCATAGCTCACAGCAGCCTCAAACTCCTGGGCTCAAGTGATCCTCTTGCCTTAGCCTTCCAAGTAGCCGGGACTACAGGCATGCACCATCACGCCTGGCTAATTTTTCTACTTTTTGTAGAGATGGGGTCTCGCTACGTTGCCCAGGCTGCTCTTGAACTCCTGGCCTCAAGCATTCCTCCCACCTCGGCCTCCCAGAGTGCTAGGATTACAAGTGTGAGCCACTGCACCGGCCTCACATGAAGTTTTATTGTTGGCTGTGACCTTCACCATTACTGTTGAGTTCTCATGTTGTTTTTTTTCTTTCTTTCTATATGCAAATGAAGGAACGAATTAAAGTAGTATATGATGCCAATTAAAATCTTAGTAGATTGTATAGTCATTGTAAAGTATAAAACTGAGATAGCCCAGAAGTAGACCATATGGGATGAGCCACCTGTTGACAAGACAACCTCACACCTGGGATTTATTACACACAGGACATGCTTGGAGCACTATAGCTGATTACTTTGATAGTTATATTTGTTCATATAGTTTCTTAACCATGAAAGGACAAGATTAATTTCATCGAAGTGTGTAGAGATTTGAGTCTTTCAGACCATGAAAAGGAGTATTACATAATCTAAAGATGTGTAATCGATTGGATTGGTATTTTATTCTTTATCACCTTTGCACCCGGGTGAGGCATGGTAGCAGGCACTCAGCTTTGGAAGAGCAAAGCTGGCATCTTATTTGCTTTTGTATTCTCATGCCTGATGCTTGAAAGTTTTTTGAATACATAAATTGAAAAGAGAAACTATTTTAAATGTATACGTTTTTATTTACAGCTGCTGCTGAAGGAAAAGGCAGAAGTGGGGAAGACTTTTTTCAAAAGGTAAGTTGCTTTTTTTACTTTTGCTTTGGTAATGAGAGGAAATTTGCCTGTCTCAACAGTGCCGCTAGAAGCTCTTGAAAGTTCCCCTTCCATATGAGGGAGGATAGGTTTCAATAAGAAAGTTGGAAACACTCAGCATGAGTGAGGAAAGGGAGGGATGTTGTATGGGACTTAACCATTCTAAGCAGGTTCTTTCCGGGGGAAATCTAATGAAGTTTTTGCTTGAAGGCAAAGAAACAGGAGGTAAGAAGGCTCAGAGGTGGATGAATTCGTGCGGCATTCATACTTCAAACATTTGGCTGGCACGGTTCATATGAGGGGCTCACAGTGCCAGGCGAGGTACGTAATCCCATGTGATAAAGTGCCTTCCTTATATCGGGGTGTACTTTTCTAAAGGAATTTATATTTAAGAAAATTAAAATGGTGTGCTGGTCAGATAGAATGTTCCAGACCACCAGTTTCCACTCCTGCTTTAGGTTCAGGCTGTTGAAGTTTATGTACTGTGCTTCAAGCCCCTCACTTGCCATTATCTGACATTGGTTAATATACAACTTGTACTCAATACGTGGACATTTCAGAATGCCCTGCCCTTAGCTGGGGCAGGCTTACCAATAAGGGTAAAAAGAGTATACAAATAGCAGAAATGGTAGATTTGTCTTGGCTTGGTCGTGATGGTACAAATAGATGCTGTCTGTGAAAGGATTTTTTTTCCTTCATTGTTCTTCTGTAGCTCACAGATAGGTGTAAAAAGCAGACTGTTCACCTTTGCTGCAGACATTTTAAGAGCTGAGTCAAATCACAGTGTATATGGTCATAAAGGACTTTCATTCTCAGGAGATTTACTGATATTTATCATTCTTTGCATAGCCATGTATACATTCCAGCGGTTTAAATGGAAACACATGTTTGGAGGCAGGAACATGTGTGCATCCCACAAACTGCGAGTTGGAATTGTAGATTCCATTCTTGGTCACAGGTTAATAAGGTCTCTAAATAATTAAATGGGAGTAGTTTTTAATCTCTTCATTTTCTACTTTAGTTCAATTGAAAGTGTCTTCTCGATAGACAAGTGTACATATGAAATTTGGACATTGACCCTGGGAAAAAACCTGTAACTTAAAAGGCAAACATCCCACATTCCAGAAGAGTAATTTTTCAATGTTTTGACTAGACAGAAGTAGACACTATAGTTCATCTACAGTAGACTGAAGTAATGGAGAACTATTGAATTGTCCTCCAGGAACTTTGATCCAGTCGCATGTATTCTAGTTCCACATAATGGCATTTTAGGAAACATTTGAGAATGAAAAATAGGCCATATCACTGCTTACTAGCATCTTTGAAAAAATACTTTCCTACTCCTAGAATAATGTAAATATGATCTATATGCCTCTTATTGGAATGTTTTTTGCTTTTGACTCTGGGGTGTGCGTGACAAACAAAACTCTTTAACTGAGTTTAAAGTTCAAATACTCTAATTATTTTAAAAACGTTTTCTAAGTATGGAAGGATACCTACCTATCTTCATCATGGCTCTCCCCAGGTGGGGATTGGAGAAGGAGTGTGAGACTTTTATGTACTATTTTATGTTTTTTTGTACCATAAAAATAAATGTAAAATCATAATAATATGATTATGGTAATTAAATTTTACTAAATTTGATTAAAGTAATCTCATTAAAATTTTTGAATTAGGGAACAATAAAACTAAATTTTAAAATATCTTTCAGAATAAGAATTCGTATATTGCCACAAAGAGTTTAAATTTCAACTTAACTGACAGTAAGATTGTCAAATATATTGTCTCAAATTTGAAGCTGCAATACACTGTTGTTCAGCTTACTATACATTTTTCCCCTTGAATCAAAGTTACTGTTTTTTCCAGAGATCTACCCAATTTTCTATACGCTATTCCTGGATGTGGCATCTGTCACTTCCTCTCACATTCTGTGGGAGAGAACTTAGTTATGTGGCCTTCCCTAAAGGCAATAATGAGGGTTGGGAGGGACTGGGACATTTGGAGAAAAATTGTGATTCTGCAAGCATTATTCATTAAAAGCCAGATTGTTAAGGGGAAAAAAAAGTATATAGTCAAAACGTAATGTCTTCATGTGGTATCCTTTGAAACCTTTTGTATTAGTTTATTAGGGTTGCCATACCACAAACTGGGTGATTTCACTGTGAGAAATTTATTGTCTCATGGTTCAGATCAGGGTGTCAGCAGAGTTGATTCCTTTGAGAGCTGTGAGAGAGAACCTGCTCCATGCTTCTCTTCTAGCCTCTGATGGTTTACTAGTGTTCTTTGGTTCTTTTGGTGTCCTGATCTCTGCCTTCATCTTCATATGATATACTCGTGTGTGTATCTCTGTGCCTAGATTTCCCCTTTTTATAAGGATGCCAATAATATTGGATTAGGGGCTCACCCTACTCTGATATGGCTTCATCTTATTACATCTGCAATGACCCTATTTCCAAATAAGGTCACATTCTGAGGTCCCAGAGGTTAAGACTTAACATATGAATTTGTGGAAGACAGTACAATCTGTAACATCTTTTAATGGAGAAAATGATTCTGTAGAAAAATTTACTAGAATTAGAAAAATGTACTAAAACTGTAAATGGTATAATATTACATTTTGGTATTCAATTTGATCTATAGATTTTAACTGCCTAGTCATTTATACTAAATCTGTTTTTGTCTAGAATAAATATATAATTGACATGCGAAAAGAGAGAAATTCTGTGATCTTACCTTTTGAAAGAGAACTATTGATAGTGTTTTTTCTATGCATATTAAAAATGTATATAAAGTGATTTTTAATATTCCCTAGTTAATGAGATTATAAATTAAACTACGTATTTGCATTGGATAATATCCCAAATGTATTTTCTGTGTTAAAACTTTGCAAAGTTCTCCATTAATTGTACGTTTTATTATTTGGCTTTAACTGTACTTACAAAAGGTGGGAAGGGATACAATTTTATCAATATTCTCTCTAGTTCTTTGTCCACTCCTAATGGCAACTCTAATTAAAACACATGGAAACGATCTTCCAGGTTTTTTATGGTTCTTTGGGCAGTTGTTCATGGCTTACTCACCGTCTGTCCTGTTTCCTTTTAATCAGTTCTTTTTTTCTTTCTCTTATGAAATGACTATGACCAGATCTTGGAGGGGAAAATGTGTTACAGTATGCTAGGTGTGGAGGGTACAGTGATTGTATTACAGATGTGACTCATCAAAGCAAAATGCTTTAGGAATCTGTAATCCCAATTACTGAAGAAGACCCAGTCCAGTCAGCATCGTGATTGGGGAAAGCTAAGTTTTCCATTGCATTGGGATTAGGTACAGTATTTCTCCCTAAAGTGCACATCATATATTTCAAATGTAGGGATATTTTACACTCTTAAAATATTTTTTTGGTATTTCTTTGAAAAACTGACCTATAAAGTGGCTTGTCATAAGGGCTAACAGTAAGACTAACATAAATGAGATACTGTTGGGTGGCTCATGTGGTATATTTTTATCACCCTCAAATGCATCCTTTTTAGGCAAAAAAAATTACTTTTGGCATTTTGAGACTGGAAAGTAGCAAGTAGTGTCTTCTGGGGAAAATTTCTGGGAGAAATATTTGGCTCCCTCTATAGCTCAAAATGAGTATATTAGGTGGTCTGAGATGGGGACTAAATGGATCTTTTTATTGGGGGGTGGGCAGAGATGGTAAAATTGCTTCTACTCTCCCCAGTGGCTGTTGTTTTTATATTTTGAATGGATCTTATTCCTCTAGTAATAGAAATAAATTTTGGTTTAATTATTTAAAAGTGAATTCAATTAACTATAGCCCATGAATGTACTTTTTCTAACAGAGTCTTTATGCTTAAACGTAACAAATCAAATTTGATTGATTAAAAAATAAGATCAGGATATTTTAAAGCTTTAATTTTAGTATTTCAATAGGTAGTATGTTTACCTGGTTCACAATTCAAATTTATAAAAGGATATACAGCGAAGAGTTTCAGATGTCACAGTGGTTTATGAAGGTTCACCGAGAAGGCTGTGTAGCATTACAATGTTGGTCCCAAACTTGAGTAAAAATTATCATTCATGAATGTCATTACTAATAGACTCTTAGGACTTAAAGCTAACATTCAGGCATAATGAGTTCTTACTACTGATCACGGTGCTATTGTCCTGAGAACGTTTCAGTGAGAGAATCTGTGATCATGGTTCTCTTTATGCTACTGTATGGATAGAGATAACTGCCACTTAAAGGACTCAGAAAAAAGGAATAACCCCCCACCCCAAAAAGGTTGTCTGAGCATCGTTTAGGCAGTTGTTAAAGTGGTTTGCTTATCATCCATTCTTCTAGCCTTCTGAGTTATGTCCTTGTGTTCATTTGGACACAGGAAGCCTGCGTGTTGAATCCATATTCTCTCAGCATGTTGTAGAGTCACCTGCATCGAGTTGCATTGTAATGGCTTATTCTTGCTGTGTATTTTGCCAATCATTTCACACAAATGCTTTATGAAAACCACATTTCCTATTTTAATCCTTTCTGGAACTGTGGAAGCAAGGAATGTCACTGAGATTCTTTCAAAGTGTATGTTTTAATAATAACAAATGTAACCTAATTGCTAGTACAATTTTTTCAAGTGAAGAATGATCTTAAATCAACGTGTGATGAAAGTTTAGTTGTTACTGATAAAAATGATTTCTTGAAACCAAACTCAAAGCATTGGATTGTGTAGAAAATCAAATTGAATTCATGAAAGCAGGTCTTTTAAAAAGGGTCACAAGGTGGGACTCTCGATTTCAGACTTGCAGTGCAAGTGACCATGGAAAGGCCAAGTTAAGGGATTTACTGGTGTTAGTTTAGAAAGGTTTGTATATTATTTTGTAAAGTGCTCTCCCTGTATAGATTAAATGTCTACCTTAATTCTTGCAGTTGTCAGCATTTCCCTTAATTGAAAGATCTTGATATACAAACTTCCTTATTTATGGTT